TGAAACGAATGAAACACAACATTTTTTTTTCTTGTTCTATAGTTTATTCAAGTGTCAAACAAAACATTGGGGAAATTGCTTGAGAAATTGCCAACCTTTTCAAAAATAATTTATTTGAGTGCTAAATGCGGGCAAAAGATTAGAAAATTATTTGAGAAAGAACAATTCAAATACTTCCCAAATAATAATAGTGATTTAAGTGCTGAAATTCGGCAAGAGACTAAATGACGTTTAGAAACTTCTCAAAATAATATCCATTCATGTGGTGAAATTCGGGTAAAAAACATTCAAGAAGTGACATTTAGTATATATAACTATGAGACTTGCCTGAAAAGAAAGATATAAAAATAAAATCGAGATTATCGATAGTAACCATAAGTAATTTTCATACTTTACGCTACCATTTTAAGAAAAATTCGCCTCAAACTGTTCTTCCAACCTTTTCTTGCCGTAGGTTGAGGTCATTACTTATAGCATTTTCGGCGGATGTTCTTCGCACATCAGAATCGTCTGTCGTTAACAGGCTTTCTTCGATCAGCAATATCAATAGCGAAGCCTTTAAACCTTCATTCTTGAATGATTTTCTAGTCTTTCACGCGAATTTTAGCCCACAAACAAATATTTTTGAAAACTTCAACTTTCATTCATTGGATAATTTTCTAATCTTTTCCCAATCATTAGAATACAAGTAAGCTATTATTTCTGATAAGTTTCTAAACTGTCATTTCTTGAATGGTTTTTTAGTTTTTCGCCCCCCATTAACACTCAAATAAATTTTTGAACAAAAAAAGGTTGGGTTCCATCAATTTGAATCAGTAGGTAAGTCATAATGACGGTACGGTTCTTCTTTTTCGTTTGAACCTAATTTCTTTGTACGATCATTTTAAAGGTTTTTGGCTAAGAACCAGTTTCAGTGAATTGAAGTTCAACTGGGATTTTCAGCATTCCTTGGCCGGTTCCAAAACAGGCTTCCACGGGGTCGGGGCTTAGATTGTTGCCATCTCCTAGGGAGCAATCGGAGATAGCTAGCATTACTGTACCTGCAGGCACTCCCCGAATCGAGCTTAGGCTCGGGTTCCTAAGTTCCGTTCCCCAGCAGGGGTCGTTCCCCAGCAGATATTTGTAAGGCTTATGAAACGTTATGCGAACTGAATGTGACCCCTGTGACCCTCAGGGTGACATTAGATTGGCATATGCCCACCTAACTTGAAAAAGAGTTAGGCACGCTCTTCTTTCACAAGTTTCCCATAGTTCTTCATCTAGCTCTTCTAGCTCCCTATTGTGCATATACAATACAATATGCATATACAATATGCATATACACACCAGATTTGGAGTTAATTCGCGACTTGTGCATGTCGAATCACAGCTTACTAATGAAAAATTTGGAAAAAAAGCTTATTGCAACTTTCACTTTCATAATTTTGTACAATATGTGCTAAGGATGTGCTTCCTTTCAATAGCACGAGTTCAACGCTAGTGCCCGTGCCGGTACGAGGGCGTTCTTTGAGCTTTCAAATTTGCCGCACTTACCGAAAATCGCTGCGCAATACCCACAAATGCGTAGTTGCTATGGAAAAGTGAGCACATGATTGACAAAAACTGTAGTGTGTGTCCCAATAAAAAAATCCATTTTTGAAGCGATCCCGACCAAACTTGGCACACATACAGTTCGCAAAGGGGCGGATATTGTAGTCTATTTTTCGATATTGATCGATGTGGATTTATCGAGTTTATGCACTTTGGGTTAGGGGGCTGTTAGATGGCACAGTGGGGTAAGTGAGCTTGCTGATTACGAATACAATATTAGTTTGTGAAAAAGCCAGTCGAGGTTAGTAGTAAGTCTTAATGTTGTTAGTGGCGGCCTGATTTGATAATCAATTGCTAATTTTACCTACTGACAATGCCGAACTTCCAGAAAGAGGAAACTTGAAAATTATTAGTTTTTGAATTGTATCACTTTTATTGATTTCATCGAATTCTTGGGAAGCTTGAGCTACGGGGCTCGGCACAGGGGAGTAGGTGAGCATGCTGATTACGAGGCAGCGTACTGGCATGTAAATTTGGACCGAGGCAGGGAAGTGTTGTAGGGGAATGAACAGGAAATAGTTGTAGGGAAATAACTCCTGGTGATTTCTATAATAGTGTATCGACAGAGCCGGGCGGTGCCGGATATACTTGGGTCCCAATCGAATAGGAATTCGACCATTCGAATAAAACACTCGAATATATTCGCATTCGAAATTCGATATTTGGAATTTTTCCATTTTCGAATGATATTTGAGGCTCGAATAATTGAGAAAACGGGGTTTCGAATAAAATTCGAAACTCGAATAAAATTCGAAACTCGAATAAAAAAAATGAAAAATCGAATAAAATTCGAAAACTCGAGTAATCAAAAACAGGGCTCGGCACGAGATGGCTAGTTAATGCAAAAAACGAAGTCCCCCTTAAATTTTGCGAATTTTTACGAAGTCCCCTTTGACCCTAGACCATTATCCCTAAAAAATCCCCAAAAACGAAACGTCCACTAAAAAAACGTCGCAAATTTTCTGTCTTTTCGGCCACAAAAACGAAACCTTTGCTTTTTGTCCCAAAAACGATATCCAGCCTGCTTGTAAGCTACCTGTGCCGAGCCCTGATCAAAAAACGGGATTTCGAGTAAAGTTCGAAAACTCGAGTAACCAAAAAACGGGGTTTCGAATAGATTTTATTCGAATACTTTAATCGAAGGTTTATTCGAATTCGTATTTGAACGAATTCCGTACTCCAGATTATTCGAGTTTGTTGCAGCCAACTGCTGAGTATCAAGCTCGCTTCGTTGCGTTTTTTTCCGCAAAACTCGGTAGTGCATCATTTTACAATCGTGATGACTTTTGAACTGTGTGGAGAGTCGCATTCTTCCGAATGCTTGCGACAGTAAATGGGTGTGGATTTTAATTGATGCTTTTTCGATCGATGAGATGGTTCGCACTGCTATTGACACCAACTCAGCAAAAAACAGCTATCAAATTCAAGCTCATGTTCCGAGTTCATATACCGAAAATGTGTTGACATGCCTGTTTCTCTTTTTTTTTTGCATTGCTCATACCGTAGGTAGGCAAAGATCCACATAAGTGAGCGCTCTTGCTTGTAAAACTCATGCTGCACAACTGCCTCTATTCTTTACCTTGGAGAATTTTCGCGGAGTATATTTTGAGTAAAGGACATTGCAGCTGTAGTGGAGGATTAGACAGTTGCTGAATTTTGCAGTCATATCACTTTTCATAAAAGTTTTGTTCAATAGATAGTACATGGTAGTTCTGTAACCACAGTGTTGTATGTAGTTTCAGCTTATAGATTTTGGTATTATTCTGAGAGTAAATAGATACCCAGTTACCCCTTGTCAACTTCTAGCCTCATGACTTTGAGTTTGTACAAACCCAATGTAAAATAACCAAAAGCGGATTACGTTTGGGTCTACCGCAAGTGCATGTGCGCAAAATTTGGTCTGCATCGTTTCAGAAATGGGATTTTTATTCAGAACTTACACATATACATACGCAAAGAGAATTATACACAAACAGATATTAACTTGTATAATTGGAATGACTAACAGTGGTTATATTTGAGGAAACCATTATCAAGATTTTGAGAAAAAACTGTGTATCCTACTTATGTAGTAGATCACTTGATCTTGCTCTTTATCCTGGGATTCTACATCAAAGAATCAATGTTTATCTGTGAATTTGAAACCTCTATGCTCTCTGTGAGCTGCAACAGTTTACAATCTCATGCGAAATAACGTTGTCCAAAAAGCAAGATCTATTACAGGGCATCGATTGATACGTGCGAAGTAGCGGTAACATTCAATTTCAATGGCAATAACTATGTGCTGGCTATGTACACATCACATATGGCTGTCATGATCATCACTCCATTTCACAGCATCAAAGCTCTCCCCCATGACCTGGGTCAATGTACCCAGGAAGGGCTATTCAAACAGCTCATTCATGTCTCTGTGGAGATCGTTGCAAACGGCTCTACCTAGAGTTTCTTTACAAAATCGCCTCCCCCCCCCCCCAAAAAAACCCGCATGCACTTGAAATCTCGAATATGAGATATTTTGGAAGGGTTTATACTCGAAAATTTGAATCTTCCAAAGTCTGCTCCTCTAGAATATGAAAGTGCGTTGAATAGAGTGGATCAAATTAGGTGGTGATAGTAAAAAGTTATTCTCTCTCACGCAAGGAGCGGCGGCCTGTCCGATTTTCGCTGAATTCATCTATGATCCAATCCTCAAGTTCCTTTAGAGCCTCTCCAAAGAAATCAATCTAAATAGTCGGCATAGAACTGGCGACTTTTTAAAGATATTGACATTGCTCACAACTTGGTGAGCTTTCTTCGATATTATTCCAGTCTGTAAAAAGTAAGAAACTAGCAAGAAACTTTCAGTTTGTAAATGAGTCATTCGCGTTTTGGACGATCTCAATGCCAGTTTACTTTTGTTATCCGTTTCTACAATTTACAATTACGTGCAAACCCAAAACATGTTATGCAAGCTTTTATATTATTGCTACACTATTTCTTTATGTAGTCGTCTGGACTGGGCTTAAGATGACGTGGTGGTTTTTTGTTACTGTTGTGTTCTATCTATGGCTAACACTTTGACATTTTTTTCATTTGGAACGCCTCGAGCGTATGAATGAATGAAGTACTGACGGTCGTAAGATTCTATTGAAAGTGCATACATAATTCCTCAAACTTAACATAGATTCAAGAGCGGAGATTGATAAGTTTTGTGATGACGGTTCAAAAATAAACACTGCCGCTGCAAAGAGATGCTACAATGCTCTGCTTCGTAAATTCATGAGAGGTATGCGCATCTAGAGCCAGCAATGGTGTAGCCTGGGCGTGGTCGAAGCAGTGGCCGCCATGGAAGTGCGCGGACAACGGGCGCTAACAGGGCGTCCCGGGGGAAGCTGACGCGGCTTCGGACATCTTGGCCGCCCCGCCCCACGCTGCAACTCCGCTGCCCCGTCCTGACCTCCGTCCTGTCTCTCTCCATATAGACGCTGTGACCTACCCACTGTACAATGCTTTAGACTGGAGTACTCTCCCTTCGCATTAGCTACTTGCTGTTGGATTCTAAATTCACGCACGCTCCTGCAGCGTGAATGATTACGTAAAATGTTAAATCCGTTGTACATGCAACATCGTTCGTCGACGCCTGCGAGTATAGGACCACCGAGTTCACCGCCGTCATTGCCCAATCTCAAGGAGATTGAGGAGTTAAGGTTCGGGTAGTTTCGTTCGATAACTGTTCTCTCTAGTATAGGGTGGTTCGGCAAGGTTTAGCTTAGCACGTATTACTGGAGTTTTTTACTGGAGTTTCAAGATTTTCGCTGACACATTATCTTTCTATGGCAACTTGCTGCGGTACGGCTACAGATTCCAAGTTTGTTTATATTGGAAATTACATATCTGATAGCATTTGTTTGGTTATATTGGAAATTACGTATCTGATAACATTGGTTTTTCCGCCGTGATTTTTTGTGATGACTAACTGCCTTGTGATGCTTTCCGGGCTCAAATTCATTGAAAAATGTTGTCATTTTCATTGGCCTTCCAAACTTCTTGATTGTTCTTCTCACGTGCCTCCCTTCTCTCTATACTGAAGACAACCTCGCTTATCTTGCAACAATTATTCCTATTCTGACTGGCCGTTGAGATGACTGTTGCTAAATCGGCAGAAACATCTCGGAAGTATCTCTGTTACAGCTTCGCCATCCTTTGTGCTTTGTGTACATAGTCGACGAACACCCCCCTTCGTTTTGCATCGCTTTTTGTGCCAGTTGTCCGGTGTTGGCAGCGCATCGAGGTGTTGCGGTGCTCGTCACTGGCTGTCTTCAATTGTTGTGCTTGCTGCAAGGTGGCGAACGGGCAGCTCGAGCCGCACGGCCCGGCAAGCACTGCCGGTGGCTATCAGCGTCAATCATATGCCGAGAATATACATGTGTGTCGTATATCATTCGCGCGGTTTTACGCAATGCCTGACACGGGAAAATCGAACGTTGCATTCAGGGGCTCGGGCTCTGTGACATGGTCGACACTTTAAAATGTGGACACACTTCACCAGTCCTTTCTTTCGCTACCTCAACTTTTCAAGGAGATCTTGAATACCAATACAATTTGCGAAAACTCTCTTGTTTGAGGAGAAAAGCCTCGAAAACGATAAGAGTGGACGAATATATTAGGTTGACTGGCACAGATCAGCAAAAAAAATTCGAAGAACTCTCCAGCATTGCATACAAACAAAATGTCGATGGCTTTAGCTTCCTTGCTTTATTAAAGGTGACCTCTACTTGGAGAAGCCATCAACGTTGCCAGGTTTTGTTTCATCCTCTTGGTAGTAAACGAGGCATAGCCTAGTTCATGCTTGAAAGGCTGACTTGGATACTGCACTCCAAGTAAATCGAATTACATAGAAAAAGCAGCTCACAAAAGTGGTAACGACTAATCCACGAAGCAGAGTCGAAGTTTTCGTGCAGTGCTTCGTATTTTATCAAATAATTGTCATAAGATTTTACATGCCAATGCCTTTCTTGATTGAGTCAATCTTCAGTTTATTTTTTTGCCCAGCATCTGCAAGAATGAAGCCGCTTCGATTCACCTAGCATGTAGTGCAAAATATTTTAGAAAAAAAGGGATGAAGATACGTCTATATTCTAACGTACGACATGCGTTGACTTTTTCTACGCTTTAGCAGTGCTAAGTATGATCTTGGCTACTGCACTGAACCTGCTTGATTTTTTTCTTCATTTTTCATCGCTTTTCTCTTTTCGCTAAAGTCACATCCATCGAACTTTACGGACTAATTCTGCTGACTATTTTATTCATAATCGTAAAATTTTCGTGTACTATAGAATGGACAATAATGGTTTTTTCGTCATATTCATCGCCTCTCGTTTTGCATCAAGTTTGCTTGTTGATTTCTGACTAGCTCTGCAGTTCGAGTTGACCTTCCATGCATTTTAGTGGTTTTTCGAACAATATGTTTGGTATCTTCTCAAATCTATAATTTATAGAAGACATGAAAGTCGTGCTTGACGGGTGCCCGTTATAATCTAAGAAGGGACACGTTTAGTAAAGGCTCACGATGAAGATAAAGCATAAACCACTATAAATAATCTTTGCGTCCAAATCAAGAAATAGGCTCACAAATCTATGCAGAATGAGCATACACGAAAAAAACCAAGGAAATCGATAATCTGGGTTTTCTACTAATCGTGCTCGATAATGATTTACGCTGTCGGTACATAATTTTTTTGCACACCCCAGAATGATTTTCTATATCATTTTTATTCTAAGTAGTGATCTAAATTGTCATAGTAAAATTCAGCATGATGCAGCGTTTTCCTTCCATCGTCTTTATGGGTAGCCTTTTTCTCAGTAAGAAAGTACAATTTCTTAGAAATTGTTCAACCAAAACTATGGAGATACGAAATCTTCAAACGCATGTCGCTATAGGTTTTCTTTTCGAGATTGTTTATTATTCGTACTTTTTCGTCTCCGAAATCTTTGCCATCTTCTTTTGGAATAGAAAATGATAAGGATAAATGTGATGGAGCATGTTCATGTTTGTTCATGCAGAATGCCTTCTCATTTCACCTAGTTTAGAACAAATACAATTCTCTTGTATCTAGCCTTTGAATCCATCGACGAAGCTACATCTTTTTTGTTTACGCGCGTCTTTATAACAAATTTGGGCTTGTGCTTTGATAGCTGATGAAGATTTTCTCGATGACCAGAACCACTCAAACGTAACGGCCGCGTTTTATGATGTTTAGCATTACAGCGCAGTTGTCATATGAAGTCTCCAATCGTCGTAAAACGCATCCTAACTATGTCTGTGACGCTTGCTGCGGAGCCGGATTGCTTTCCAGCCATGGTCGCATTCGAGCGTTGATATCAGTCAGCGCCATTTGGTCCGGTTTAGATTGATGCGCACAACGTCATCGAGGCTTGAGGGCAGAGAGTTGTGATCTTCGACTTACTTTTGCGGTTGTGTGGTAGTGTTTGGCTAAGCTTAGGAGAAGAGAAGAAATTGATGTGGCGTTTTATCATTACGGATGGAAATGACTTTCTTTTCGCTTCTTTTTCTTCGCATGGATTGATATCAGCGCTCAGCAAAGCACTCCATCAATAAATAATTATGCTATCACAAATTCTTCTTCTTGTTCTTCGTGCGTAACAGCTCTCCATTGCACCATTATGATTGTGACAATAAGGCTAAATTTAGCAAGGGACCAATACTTTTTTGATATTATCATGCTGCTCGTTCTGAAGATTCAGTGATTGTTGGTATTTTGCACAATTTCGATAATTTTCTATGTCATTCCTGCGTGAAAATTTTTATCTGGTTTTTTTAGTTATTTCACTAGCACTGTTTTCAGAGAGAGAGAGAGTTTGAGCTTGTTCGAGTTTTGCATCGATTTAACATGTCGTAGTAGTGAGTCAAAGTGGAAGTCTGTTTGACACGCACCTTTTATTGTAAGTGCACTAGTTTTTCGGACTCACAAAAAGTAGTTCGCATCAGCTCTTTGCTAGTAGCGCATTTCCTTCAACACAGCAGGTCACATTCAGCACTTGTGCTCAAGCTCAGTTCATTGTGCAAAACAGCAAATCGCATCTTATTCGGCCCTGTGTCGAAAACAAAAACGTTTTGCTGTGTTGTGCAGTTACGCACGAACGCCTTCATTGTGGGTTTTGCAGAAAAAAGTTGCGCGCAGTGGCCGTTTCCATGTACGTCAATACACGTGGAAGTCCGCCATTATCGTCACCACGAAACCAAATAAAGCGAGGATTTGTAGTCGAATCAAGTAGTTATGCGATGGCAAGTAAGATTTCAGAAATGTAGTAGGGGCGTTAATGAAAACGCGCAAATGAAAGGGATGTGGCGGATTTCATAGACGATTGCTTAGTAGAATGCAATGCGGACTATTGAAAGTGCGTCAAAATTCGGATCATTTGTGATGGGCTTTTCGCTGTTTTTGGACTGTTCTTGGACTTTAAGTTACTTCCGATTTGAGAATTCTGGTAAAGTTGATGTACACTCGCGCAAAAAATATTTGCTTCACCCAAGGTGGCTAACGAGAGGGCGATCTGCAGCTTGTGATGAATGGTACTTCCAATATCACTGTGTCTACAAGTGTAAAAAGAGTATGGTACTCAATAATAACAAGATAGAAACGTCAATTTTGGGCTATACTGTTAATTAGTCATAAGGTGTACGTGCCGTTTCCTTCTCCTCATTTGCTTTTCTTTTGTCATTTCCTTCCAATACTACTCAATTTGGAGGCCTGAACCACTGATCGTAGAGTTGAGCTCTGAATTAATCGAATCATGTGAGTGCGGAAGAATTTGGGTACATCGCGCACGCTGTTGTGACGGCTGATTCACGGATTAGGAGGCGGACATCTCTCATGCGACTCATGCATGGCTTAACTCTTCTCACTTACTGCTGGGGTGTCGGAAACCTACTGCAATTCTGGCAGAGTTCGCTTGACCATGAACGAACAAGCAAGGCCCCACGAAACAATAAGTTTGAGAAAGGCATCGTTTTTTTGACAAGGTTGAAGTACAGCGAATTTGATTCTCCTTGATGTATACAAAGAGCGGTATATGTTGGGATAAAGGACATTGACATTGAATGCAAACTTGTTGTGACTGAGCTCACGATCTTATGGATTGAGATGTGCAGTCAGTTTTCAATTGGCTAAGCAGTTTGCTTCCATGCTGTGCGCGCCTAACTTCATCGAATAGTAACGTGGCGATTGTATGAGGGAGTGAAGTTTTGGTGTTGCACTCTATCTTCGTTATCGCTCCATCCAAGTAAAAATCCGGAAAAAGCCCATGTAGTTTTTTCAAATAGTGTCACTTGGATAAGGTTTGAAGTGTTGAGCTGATTAAGTACTCCAACTAACTATACTCCCATCCACTCTGCAAATCGTTCCTGTTGTAAAAATGTTCTCCATAGCAGTTCATGCGCCACAAAGAGCAAATGGGACGAAATTGTCAACAGAGAGCCTCAAAAGTCTCTTGCATATTCTTATTCAGTCATAATCTTCACATTTAGTGCTGAACGTCTAAACCTCTATCTTGATCGTCAAGAAGGTGAGGATGAACACGAGGAGGAGGCAGTCGACGAGATTGCAAAAAAGAAGAGTCGATGGAAGCGGGTAAGAGGAACTGCTTACTTTCTAATTTGTTTTCCTGTGTATTGCTGGAGCACTCATGGGTTTCGGTAATCGAATAATTGTCGAATGTCGAACAATCATACTTGTGAGAAATCATAAAAGGGAACAATAACTTTACCTCGAATTTTGGGACCTAACCCGTAATCGCATTCATTCCTAGAGTCCGAACTCCTCCTTCCTGAGGATCATACTCAGGTGATGGAAGTGTATGAAGTAGATGTGGTGCTTACACAAATCGAACTACACCCAACACTCCCTTCTTTTTTCTTGAGCCGATTACTGAAAAGTTCACAAACACTTTCCATGCAAAACTGAAGTCATCGATGCGCGCGGTTCATCCGACGGAATGTGTAGGAGACAAGGCCGAATTAGGGAACGTGCAAAATGAAAGACTTGTGTCAAGGATGCGTTTGGTGCTTCATGCCTTTTCAAAAGTCTGTTTGTGAAGTTTTGTACTACTGTATGTTTTCAACAAATCGCTATCTCATGTCCGCAGTTCTACACGAGGGCTCAATCCATAGCTAGACACGACTACGCATCGCACGCCTCTTTGCACTCTCTGCCCGCGCGGTCGCGCGCTGCCATTTCGAATAAGATTTGATCTATTTGACGTCAAAAATTGAGTGTTGCCGTCGTCGACACTCTTCGCGGGATCGATCCGAGTTTCCGTGTGAATGATGGCGGCGTGTTCGGTCCCTCGTGGCCTGCGCGGAGCAGGAGGCGACAATGACTTCTCAACTCCGAGGTTCAATGCTCGAGACAAACGGAAAGCACCTAGAACTCTGCGCTCACGAACTGCTGAACTATCTTCGAGTTGTGTGATGAGGTCAAACAAGTCTGTTCCATAAGTTGAAAAAAATGCACAATTACTCAAATGCCAATTTATCAAATGGACCCGCTGCTTTTGGAAGCCCGAACTTAGCCGATGGTATAGTAGCATCCAGTTTGCGAGGCCATACAAGTGCTAATGGGAAATCACCAGGAAATATCGAAGAAAAAAAGAATCGTGTGAAGTAGAAATAGCAGCAATTTGCATTTCCTTTGGCCTTTTGGCATATCGAGCCATTACTTGAAAGTTCTCCCTAGTTCTCAGCTCCTCTCTTTTGAGAATGATAGACTATTTTGTTCACTGTTACTACTTGCCTGTGGGCTTTGCCAGTTTTCTTTGCATGCTCTTTGCAACGCCAAACCAGATATATGCTTCTTGCAGAACCTTCGCATCGCTTTGCCACACGTCGGTCTCGTTATTCTCTCGGCAGTTTATACTTTGGTAGGAGCCGCCATATTCCACCATGTAAGTCACTCTTGAAATTTTCTTGTTTGTTTCTCTTTATCCATCTGATCAATTGTATCATGATAATCCATAACTATTCTCGCTCCGGGCTCAGAAACATTGTTTTGATTTAAATGCGCCTCTTCTGCAATAGTGGTTTGTTTTCGTACTTTCCTTTTTAAACGCCTTATCAGACTTCATTAGCAGAGTGAGACTGTTCTCCTATAACGTACTCTTTCCCTTTTCTTCTCTTCCGCTGAATACTCAAGCATACTTTTAGATGAATCGCTAGGAAGTGAGGAGGAACTTCTCTATCTCTCTTTTCTCTTCTCTCTTGTCAGCAACAGTCCCGTACAGGGCCCGGCGGGGGTGGCGCTTTCACAAGCTGGATATCGTTTTTGGCCCGAAAAAGCAAAGGGGAAGTCGTTTTTTGCAGACAAGCAGCGAGCATGAACTACCAATTTTTCTCCGGGCGGAGCCCCGGAGAAAAATTGGTAGTTCATGCTCGCTGCTTGTCTTAACATGTTACTTCCCTCAACAGGCGAACACTGGAGTTCGCGCGCGTGAAACCGCGCCGTCGCTAACTGCCGCACGCGCGACGTCGCTCAAACGATGCTGTTTGTAACGCATAAATGACGAGTTCCCAATGTATGCGTAACGATATGGCACCAAATTTTGTAAGCGAACGGAGAGAGGCTAATGGAAACAAAGTATGAAAAATCATGAAAAACTTATGTGAACGGAACGAGTAATAAGCATTTTTTCCGAAAATTTTGTAAAATTGGTAAATGAAGATGCGCATTCAATTGGCTCGTTTGCAACGCGCAGATGACGATATGCTACGAAACTTGGTACATACGTGGACACAAGCCTGTGAGAGATTAGTTAGGAGATTCATTGAAAAATTATGTGACTGAAGGTTGTAGCAAGGTTTTTTCTGAAAATTTCCCACTATCAAGAAAATGGAAAAATGGCTCGTTTGCAACGCAGAGGTGACGAAATTGCGCGGGATTTGGTGTGTATATGCGCAGTAGGACCAAGTAACAAAGTATGAAAAATTATGAGAAACTTATGTGAATTTAAAAAATGGTAAGTGTTTATCGAAATTAGGTGGCTCCCGCGCCACCTGAGAGCCACCTGGGGTGGCTCCCTGCTTTCCTTCACATAATTTCCCGGATTTCTTTACATAAATGTGGCTTAGGTCGAGAGTATTACTACATGTTCAAATCCGCATCCAAAACCACCAAGGCACCCGCTTCGATACAGCCCCAAATAGGGTTCACAGCGTTATGGTCAGCCTCGGAAAGCGCGCTCCAATCGCAATCGGTGCACCTTGCACAGACGACGCGGAAACTTTGAGAAATTGACTTTTTGCTAGATTACTGATCGCTGATTGAAGCAATCTTCTCAGTCTTCAACCGATTGCTTCTTCGATAAGCCCTACAAGGGCTCAGAAGGGTCAGCGATCATATTTGATCGCAATGTTCTATGCAAAAAGTTGTTTTTGTAATCGTATTTTTTCAGTTTTCGAATTATGGTCAATTTTTCCGTACTTTCGCTCTTTTGAGTCGTTAGTAAGTGTAATTTTTGGCCATCCTCTCAAACGATGACCCGGGCTGGACCAGGAAAGCCAGATAGTAGTACTATAATAAGCGCTGAGGCCGCCCATCTTATTATTTGTGTATATCTGTTTGTCAGGGACTTACGGGGGCCAAAAATAGGGTCAAAGGGGAAGTCGTAAGAAATTTTGGCTTCAAAGGGGATATCGTTTTCAAAATTCTGAAATGCCACCTCCTGCCGGGCCCTGGTCCCGTACTCTTTGTTGCGTTACGAAAAGCAACTATCGTACTATCGATCACTTTCCGGCGGAAATGTTAATGCATGCGGTTCTTGGTAAACTTCCTCCAACATGTATATATGAAAGACAGTGGCCATCCCAGGATTTCCGTCCAGGGAGGCAGCGGCATAATTTTTCGAATAAAGTTGGGTGGCTTTAGCCACACACTCCGAAAAAATATTTGGGGTGCTCCTCAAAGTTTTTGCGGGCCCATAACCTAAAGTGGAGAAAAAGGGGCGTGGCGGTAGCCTCCAAAATCTTTTTTCACAAAGCTAATTTGAATTTTCAAGTAATTCTAAAAATCAACTTGATTATCTATAAGAATAAACAAGTCACTTGCACATTTTTAAATACTTAAGTGAATTTCAAAAATTTCGCGAGCGTCCTCCCCCCCCCCCCGCCTCCTTCCCCCCCTCCCTCAGTCCGCCATTGATGAGAAGATATTAGAATATACAAGAGTATATAATAACGCTAGTTATACCAACTCAGATGTGGTAGCTGGCATTTACTCCCAAACAGAAGGTATAATTTACATGATAGATTGTTACTTAATGCAAGTTACCTTTGTCGGGTTGTTTTTCGTCAAGTCGAAAGTATTCCACAGTGAGCATCTTGTAGCCCTCAATTATTTAGGTCATGCTATCTTTTTGGTTGCATATAAAGATTAAAACAGGGCGTTAGTATTGGCTTATATAACAAAACAGATGACTATGAATACACAAGATGTTCTCATTGGTATTCTGATATATCACGGTGTGATGAAGAACACTTTTATAGAAGAAATAATAAGAATAGGAATTGTTCTGAATACTAAGGTGCGCCATTATAGTTTGTTCAATATTAGCAGTTAAACAACCACACAATTAGCCCAATTTGTGCTCACACCAATCGGTTCGCTTCAAGCCCATGGTGTTGGCATGTTCACAAGCAGGGCTCGGCGCGAGGTGGCTAGTTGAAAACGCAAAAAGCGAAGTCTCCCTTCAATTTTGTGAATTTGTACGAAGTCCCCTTTGACTAAACCATTATCCCTGAAAAATCCCCAAAAAACGAAACGTCGACTAAAAAGAACGTCGCAGATTTTCTGTCTTTTCGGCCACAAAACGAAACCCCCTTTGCTTTTTGTCCAAAAACGATATCCAGCTTGCTTGTAAGCCACCTGTGCCGAGCCCTGTTCATAAGTCAATCCTACAGACCAGTGACTTATCGAACGGTAGAGTAGTGAATTTGAAATGCTAGGTTCTTCTGAAACCTTCTGTCCGTTTTTAGTTGCCTTGTCTCAACGCAGCTATTTTCTTGGAGTTTTGCGCTTATTGCAATATAACAAACACCACCTAAAAATTTTTTTGCTCCTTTCAGTGCTTGCCATTTATTAACGAAACAACTTCCTAGTAATGAAATTTCAAGCCCTGAAGCCAAGTTGTCGAAATGCAATCATGCTGTCTTGTTCAAGAATAAGTTTCTATAAAGATAATTTCCGCAGTATCAGTTGAATTAATTTAATTATTATTATATTGTATTATTTTATAGTGAGTATGGGTGTATTGGGCTAACATACGCACACTTGTATTCCCACATAGAAACAGACAAATGTCTCACTTTTCAAATTTTATTTATTTATTTATTTATTTATTTATTTATTTATTTATATGCACTCGAGGTGCGCCATTAAAAAAGAACACAGAAATATAAACACAAGTCTAACCAGTCACACAGTACATTCGGGTAGAATTTGTTGATATTTGATATTTCAATTTTTGTTTTTTTTTATTTTATTGATACACTGTTGTGCACAGTGCGCCAGTACAAGACACGAATGCAACGACAGACAAAGCAGTAATGAAACGAAATTGTGACATGCTCAACACCCTAGAGAAATTGCGGAGACTAATTCTCTAAACCAGATGTTCGTCAGTGTTGTCTTCAAAGTCACTGTCGTGGGGGCTAAACTTGGTATAAGTACAAGTCCAAGTACGATGCGTGACGGTATAGAAATATACGGTCACTTTCGAGCGAAGGAAGAGGGGTGAGCACCTAGGCGAATGAGCGAAATCATGCGTACCCGGCGGGCAGGAAACCTCGTTCGGCTTACCCCAACAACGCTAACATCGGATTTGGATACAAGATGATCAAGGATAAGAGACAAAAATAAAGCTACATGACAAAGACGATGTCAAATTTAGAAGACAAACACTAAGCTGCGTATATAGTAAGAGGGCCTCTGAGGTCAAGAGCATGCCAGCAAAACAGCAATGAAAAAAAAATAACTGATGGAACAAGATGGTCATACGAATGTATGCTATACTATAACCCATATAACGGAAACTGAAAACAAAACAACAAGGTAATAGTCGATTTAGGCAAAGGGAACGTGGACCGAAGTTTAGCAAAGTTGTATCGACTGAATTGTACAGGCAATGCAAGGACCCCTGAAATCAAAACAGACGAGACAACATAACTGAGTTAAAAAGGCGATCAAAAAGGATCCCAAGTGAAGTCCAAGGAGAGTGGAATATACAGTGAAGAGAATAGCCAGTGTTAATCTGAGCAAGTCAACACTCTAAAAAAAAAGGAGGCAGAGCCAAGAATAGAATTTAAAATGTAAGAAAAAAAGCAAAGGACATAAGGAGAAACTTCATTTCAAAAGTACTCGGATTCATCTATTCCCAGCAATTTCAAAAAGTCACAATTAAGAAGTTTTTTCTGAAAGTAGTTGAATTAGGAGCAGAGAGAACTGCGTCAGGAAGCTTTTGTAACCATCGAGAAGTGCGTGCGAAAAAAGAGTTGTAGAAGAGTGTATTTGGAACAGTAGAGTCAATGCAGTGGAAGCTAAACCCACCTGTTCGGCCGTTGCACGGTCTCCAAACCCAGAATTCACTAGGAACAATTTTTGTTTCAAGGCGAATTATTTGGAAGGCAAGCACTAATTCAGCCAAAACCCTTCGATACAGCAAGCTATGCAACTTCAAGTGGTCCAGCCTACATCTATAGGAGGGAAGGGTATACGGGTAATCCTCGCTTGGAAAAAATCTGTAGTACAGTACACGGGTGAAAACCATTTGGACTCTCTCCACGGTTAGAATGTCTTTTTTTAAGTGAGGATTCCAGACTTGGCAAGCATACTCTAATGAAGGGAGAACATAGGCCATATACAGCTTGATGTATACTCTCAAGTTTACATGCTTCA